CACTTGAAATTAAGGAATATACTATATCGGCTTTTAAACCAGGGAACGTTAAAGTTACAACTTTTCTTAAAAAAATCGCGCTATAACAGTTACTTTTTTGACTTTTATTTAATTACTCCTTAAATAACAGTTATTTCAGATTTTTTTTATAAATCCAAAATAACAATTATTTTTGAATTTTATCTAAATAATCTGCAAATAACAGTTATTTTTGTTGTTTAAATTAAATGTCTTAGATAATAGGCAGACTTTTATTTATAAGAGTCATAAATAGAAATCAATCAGTGACTTTTACTCTTAATAGTCATCAATATAAATTAGATGCTCTAGGAATATTTCTGCATCAAAAAGAAAATTTTGAAAAAAATGTCGCTTACGTTATTTTGGCGGTTACGGCTCGATATATACTACGCGAAGGAATTTTTTGTTCAGGATAAAAGATCTGTACCGTTCGCCCGATTTTTAAAAATGAGATGTCAAATTAAAGCGCTCGGTCTGTAGATGTGCAAACTGGTTTTAGTTTTTCGAAAAGAGTTGCCACCTTTTAAAAAATTAAATTCAAATTATTTAAAAAAATATATCAATTATTACAAACTAGGTATCAATCGAAATGGTTTTGAAAAGCTTTGTTTCTTAGCTGAACCATAGGAGGGTTACCACCTGTTAAAAAAATCATATTATGTAAGAAAAATATGTATCAGAAAAATATGTATCAAAAAGTAGTAGTTTGAAAATATTTTGAAGAGGGTTGCCACCTGTTTGAAATGTCGAATTTAGCTTACTTATTCACAAGTTATACGAAATATCAAAGTATGGCTGTCAAACGAAGGAGTCTTAAGAAATCTTTAGTTTGAACGCTAAGAATATTTTTGAGGTGTTGGAGGAGGGTTGCCACCTGTTTAAAAAGTTAAGTTCAAATTATTTTATAAGTTAAATGAATTATTAAAATATGAATATCAATCGAAAGGGGTTTGAAAATTATATTTCTGAACTCTATTTAGCGGGGTTGCCACATGCTTGAAAATTAAAATTCCACTTAATTCATCAGTTAATTAAAAGATGAATCGATGAATCGCAGTGTACGGTGAAGGAGAGTTAACAATGATTAAGCTTGGGAATACTTTTGAAGAATGGGGAGAAAAGTTGTGTCAAAATATGTTGTCAAAATTTTTCATAGTGAAAACCGACCTCTCCACTTTGTACTCGTGCACCAGTGCGCTTGGTTATTAAAAGTACTTCGCAATCGAAGCTGGCTTGAAAAGCTCAAAGATAGAGGGAACCTCAGGCTATTCAGCTATCTAAAGCACATATTTTATGGTTTTCGTGTTGTTTTCAATCTTTAAATCAAAGTACAGTACTGGGTGTTAACGACTATAGGTGTCGATTCTCAACGAACCGCTGGCAAAATCCTTATACGTACATACGTGTATATGTATGTAATCCTTGCAAAGGCGAGGTTCTGCCAAAAAGTATTCCAGGAAAGTGAGGTTGTCATATATGCCGACCATAGTCAGGTGTTTGTCCTACGATAAGTGACCAGTGAGTAATCCCATAAGTCGTCTGCAATCCCATAAGCTATCTGCAGTTTCATCAGCTTAGTGAATGCAAAAACCCAACTAGATCTTCTGAGATGCAGGCCAACATATGACATAGGTTTTTCCTCAACGGCAGCTCTTCGATCCATCTAAGCGATTTCTGAGCGAAACATTCACCTATTTTCAATGCCCGGAGGTGAGAGTGATATAACTGGCTGCTGGTTGAGGAATACACAGCCAAAAGACATCTACATAAAAAAAAAGTTCGTTATGTTTACCAACACTATTTAGCGAATACTTGCATTTCTAAGCTAATTTGGAGGTCTATACAATGCCGTGAGTACAGCTTAGCTGTCACTAGAGATAAATATACTACTCTTTTTCACACATTTTAAGTATGCAGCCTATGACTTGGAAGATTATAAATACGGCTGGAAATACTGAGGCTTATTCCCAAAGTGAGAAGATTATCCTAAGTAGTTACCCTCGATGTAACTGTAGAGGTCAGATTCTGATCCTGTGCAAATACTAGAACCAACGGTTAACATTCTGTGAACCTGAGCTTTGTTTTGTGGTTAAGCCAGTGGTCAGCCTTAGGGAACTCAATATTGTAGTATCTCTTCAGCAAAGGTAATGGTGGAACACTATCCTGAAGGATTTATTTTAAGCCTACAAGTACGATGTCAACCTTTTGCATGCATTCTTTACAACGTGAAACTACCTTTAAAGTTTACAATTTGGAATTCTTCCTAAATACTTTACTTAGGAAGAAATTTGAATATTGACTCCTTTAGGGAGGGGCACAAGGCCGTTCTGTATTCTCCTTATAGTGAAATGCACAACCCAAGTTTTGGTTGGGTTGGCGGACAGCCTATTCTCAACGCTAAACATGCTCATGTTCTTTGCGCCTTCCTGCAAACAGCTGAGAGCGAATGGCCTGTAATGAAGCAGGCAACAACGTCTATACAGGTCTGGGCTATAGATATTAGTGCCTTAAAGGTTGACAAGAAGGGAATAAATTATTCTTAAACTTTAATTGGACTTTTAATTTTATTTTTTATTTGGAACCAAGAAAAAAGCGTTCCAAAAAGAAATTACGATAGCACCTAAGTAGCCGATATGAACAATAAATCTACTACTATTGATCTCGAAGTGGACAGCCTGCAGCAATTAGGCGGCCTATTTTTCGTAAAGGACTAGTACTTCACTGGTTAAAATTTGACTGGTAAGAATTGGACATTTGCTTGCATCGAAAATGTCAGCCTCCGACCAGTCCCCAAGGAGATAGACGAATAGTACAGTTTGGTAGTGACGGGGTGGTGTTGTCTTGCAATTCAGTGACAAAAAAAATTAAAGAACACCACCCTGTAAATGTCCCAATCGCTTGGTCTGGCCTTGATGCCAAGTGAACATTTGAACACACATTTACATGCGTGGCAGTAGCTCAGTGCGCAGAGATGCTTGCCACTATTTGTTAGCTTTCAGGAGGGTCCTGGTTCAAATGCCGTCAGAGGCAACATGGTTATAAAATGATAATTTTTTTTTTTGTGTTTCCGAATTATAAAAAAGCATCTGTGAAGTGCAGAACGCTATCTTACTCCAACGAAAAAAATCTCCAAAATTGGACTAGTCCAGGACTATCTTAGGGTCAGTGTTGATTGGACCGGTCCTTTTCCAATGACACGCCAATGCTAAAAACGGCAGTTGAAACCATTGGCAGGGACTAGTGCTGGTAACAATAGGGATTATCTTAGGGCTAACCAAGGGGGAGTCTGAATTGCTGCAGGGTAGCTAATATGGTACGTATGTATGTATGCATGTACATATGGTATATGCTGTAATTATTATTCAAACACTTTACACAATTTGTTCTTATAACTAAAAAAACTACAAAAGGAAATTATAAAGGTGAACCAAGTGCTCGAAATTTCATCTTTAATAGCCAGTTTCATGACAGCAATTTAAGTGAAAAATGCTTATTTTTATTTAAATTTTATATGAAAACTGACAGAAGGCAAAAATTTATTTTTCACCTAAATTGCTGAAAATATGTCGCTGCAGTGTTAATACATCGAAGTATGATTTAGCAATACTTCTAATGTATGAACGTCCCTAATGCTATAGGCGCTTCCGTAAATACATTGGCCCGTAGTTATGGACAAATGAAAAGCAAGTTTTTATGATAAAAATGAATGAAGTTAGCGTGTTATATTTAAGTTAATTTTGGCACAACATTTTGAAAATTAAATCAAATAAACTGATTTTTTAAGAGCTTGATAACTTTTTTTTTAAAAAAAACGCATAAAATTTGCAAAATCTCATCGGTTCTTTATTTGAAACGTTAGATTGGTCCATGACATTTACTTTTTGAAGATAATTTCATTTAAATGTTGACCGCGGCTGCGTCTTAGGTGGTCCATTCGGAAAGTCCAATTTTGGGCAACTTTTTCGAGCATTTCGGCCGGAATAGCCCGAATTTCTTCGGAAATGTTGTCTTCCAAAGCTGGAATAGTTGCTGGCTTATTTCTGTAGACTTTAGACTTGACGTAGCCCCACAAAAAATAGTCTAAAGGCGTCAAATCGCATGATCTTGGTGGCCAACTTACCGGTCCATTTCTTGAGATGAATTGTTCTCCGAAGTTTTCCCTCAAAATGGCCATAGAATCGCGAGCTGTGTGGCATGTAGCGCCATCTTGTTGAAACCACATGTCAACCAAGTTCAGTTCTTCCATTTTTGGCAACAAAAAGTTTGTTAGCATCGAACGATAGCGATCGCCATTCACCGTAACGTTGCGTCCAACAGCATCTTTGAAAAAATACGGTCCAATGATTCCACCAGCGTACAAACCACACCAAACAGTGCATTTTTCGGGATGCATGGGCAGTTCTTGAACGGCTTCTGGTTGCTCTTCACTCCAAATGCGGCAATTTTGCTTATTTACGAAGCCATTCAACCAGAAATGAGCCTCATCGCTGAACAAAATTTGTCGATAAAAAAGCGGATTTTCTGCCAACTTTTCTAGGGCCCATTCACTGAAAATTCGACGTTGTGGCAGATCGTTCGGCTTCAGTTCTTGCACGAGCTGTATTTTATACGGTTTTACACCAAGATCTTTGCGTAAAATCTTCCATGTGGTCGAATAACACAAACCCAATTGCTGCGAACGGCGACGAATCGACATTTCACGGTCTTCAGCAACACTCTCAGAAACAGACGCAATATTCTCTTCTGTACGCACTGTACGCATTCGTGTGGTTGGTTTAATGTCCAATAAAGTAAACTGAGTGCGAAACTTGGTCACAATCGCATTAATTGTTTGCTCACTTGGTCGATTATGTAGACCATAAATCGGACGTAAAGCGCGAAACACATTTCGAACCGAACACTGATTTTGGTAATAAAATTCAATGATTTGCAAGCGTTGCTCGTTAGTAAGTCTATTCATGATGAAATTTCAAAGCATACTGAGCATCTTTCTCTTTGACACCATGTCTGAAATCCCACGTGATCTGTCAAATACTAATGCATGAAAATCCTAACCTCAAAAAAATCACCCGTTATTATGTTAAATAGGCTTTAGTTCATAGTGTTCATTTAAAAGTGAATACTACATTCGTACACATCTGGCATATGGATATTTATTGTTAGTTAATATTTAACACTTTCTTTTCATCTTTAATGAGTCTGTACATACCATACATTCTTATTTTAAGAAAAAAATTGGTTTCAGTACTTGTACCTTTCACAGACACACTTTGTCATAATTTATGATGGGCCCAAAGCCGAATTTGAATAAAAC